CCCAATCCCAGGAGCCACCACAGAGCCTAATCCCCAACTTCCTTTAGCCTTTAAGAATTTGGGTAACCAAACTTGGTACATATGTATCATCCTGGAGCTGCCACCCAGAGCTCTGTGGTGCACATCACCCCTGAGCTGCCACCCAAGGCTCTGCCCACATTTCCCTCCCTTGCCTTGTCAAGGACAGCTCTGTAAATGCTCTTACTGTGGAGATGTGTTTCTGGCTCTCCCTCACGCGACGCATCTCCGGCGTGTCCAGGACGTAAGCAGCTTTGCCTTGGACTTGCTTCCTGAAACTGTCTGAGTAAAGGACCTGAGGAGAAGGACAGAACCAAGTCAGAACATTTGCTGTTCCTGCAGAACCACCATTTTATGCTTTATGACACAGAAGAGCAGTAAAACCAGAAGGTATTTTCAGGAGCCTCAAAGACAAGTTACTCGGAATTTAAGCATTAAAAAAGCCTCAAATTAGCAGCTAATTACACAGAAATTGATTGCAGCAGAAAGCATTAAAGAGTTCCATATGGTGACTTGATCCTTCCAACCATATGAGGGATCAAATGCTACTTGAGCAGGACCTACCGAGCTGATGTTCTCCTGGTTGCGTTTCGCCCTCTCCATCTCTGGAGTCAGAGGTGTTGGAGTTCCCTTTGCCATGTGCTCCTTGTACAGCACGTGCAGTGCACAAACACAGGAACACAGCTCAGAGTGGGACCATTCCAGCTCCTCCTGGCACCAATTCCAGCTTCTAGTACTGGGGGTTATTGTCTAAGCAAACTCAGAGCCGCAGGGCGGAAAACATCTCGGGAGATGAAGCAGCAAAAAAGTTACTTTGCAAAAGGTAAAAAAAAAAATCAATGGGAAAATAGGCAAAAATAAGGAAGAGTGGGAAAGTGAGGGTGAATTAGAGTGGAGCTTTGCTGAGGGTGGTTATTTGGGACACAAGTACCGAGCTGATGTGCTCCTGGGTGCGCTTGACTCGCTCCATCTCCGGAGTGTCCGGGGTGGGAGTTGCCTTCCCTAGGCCTTCCCTGTACATCACCTATGGACAGAGCAACTCAGTGCCCAGGGCACAGAACTGGGATGTTACTGGGTTTAGAGTGAACAGCACCCATTACAAAAGGCAAAAAAAGTCAGGAAAAACCATATTAACCAGTTAAATGACAAAAAAAACCCTCTTCAAAGTGTAGTACTTGAGGGGGGACTCTCTCAGGGGTAAAAATTAGAGGGTTAAATAAAACCAGGCAGGCTCAGGTTACTGTCACACCCTCTCTGCTTCCACACAGTCTGTTAAACACTTCATTAGGATCTTTAGGAACTGTTTTCCTGGGAAAAATACCGAGCTAATGTGTTCCTGGTTGCGTTTGACTCTCTCCATCTCGGGAGTGATGGGGGTTGGGGTCGCTTGCCCCACGTTCTCTTTGTACAACACCTGTGGGGTACAGAACAGGGATCCAGGAGCTTGAAAACCACCCCGAGGCACAAGGGTTTGAACACTAAGAAGTCAAACATGTAGTGCTGCCAGGAGGGGGAGAAACACAGGCTGGAGAGAAAAGCTGCTGGTTAACTGGGCTGAGCTCTATCCAGTGCTGATGGCCCAGAGAAGCTGCTTGAGCTGCTTTTTTATCAGTCTTTAAAGCAGTTCATGACCTCTTTGGGAGGGAGGTGCCCACATTAAGGGTGCCCCTGAAGCCAAACACCCCAAAAAAAACAACAAAAGCCAAAATACCAAACAGAGATGAACCTGGATATCTCTGAGCAACCTGAGGCAGGGGAAGCTGTTCCTGCCCATGGGAAGGGCTGGAATGAGATGAGCTTTGAGGTGCCTTCCAACCCAAACCATTCCAACCAACCATCACCACTTGAGGTTGCCTGGATAGAACCCACAGATACACAAACTGAGTCACAGAAAAGGCCTAAATTTCTGCACCACACTGTTAACACTGAGGTAGTTCTGGTTTAGGAGGAGTGATTAATCTGCAGGAAGAAATACATCCAGTTTTTTACCCCAAATCAACTCTGAGGAGGAGTTAGGCTGTTACTTGATTAAGGTGTAAGCAGGAAGGAAAGCAAAGAGAAGTGTGAGGTACCGAGCTAATGATCTCCTGGTTGCGTTTGACTCTCTCCATCTCGGGAGTGATGGGGGTTGGGGTCACTTTCCCCACATTGTCTTTGTACAACACCTACAGGATACAAAGGAGTATCCACAGGTCATTTCAAAAACAAACCAAAAAAAAAAAGCCCCAAAGGAAAACAAAGCAAAACATAGAAAACAGCTGTTGAGTGAGTGACTGAGGGTTAGAGCTGAGGCTGTTCCCACAAGGAGCAACTGGAGCTTGGCCATTAACTGGGCTGCAGGAATGGGCCCTGTGTGGAACACGAACACTCGGAGCAAGAAAGGGTTAAATACCAAGTCAGAAAACCAACATCAACCCCCAAAAGGGATTTTCTTTCCCAGTACAATCCAGACAGAGTTAAAGGAAGCTCTGGGGGCTGTGTGAGCTCAGGGGTTGGTGCCCCGAGGCACTGGAGACATTAGGAAGCCACAGATTGCTGAGTGCTACAGTCATGTTAAACACTTCACTCCGCTCTGAGGGAACTGTTTTCCTGGGAAAATACCGAGCTAATGATCTCTTGATTGCGTTTGACTCTCTCCATCTCGGGAGTGACTGGGGTGGGAGTGGCTTTCCCTAGGTTTTCTTTGTACAACACCTGTGGGATAGAAGAGCCAAAGAAAGTAACGACACATTAACACCTCTCCCTGCACAGCCTTTTTCCCTTGGGCTTAGTTTCCCAGGTATTATTCTAAGCAGGTCCTTGGCACTATTTTAGTAGAGAAGTAGCTAAATACTTGCCACAGGTTGTGTCAGTACTGCATGGAGGAGAGCACAAAATACCACCTGAGGGGCTGAGGAGGTTAGGAGTATTTGAATTAATCCCTTCAGAAATAAATGCCAGCACTGCAGAGAAGAATCAGTGGAGTTTCAGTGGGTTTAGGATTAGAACAGGACATTAAAATCACTCTTAAAAACCAAATAAACTGGACCAAGTCAACACTTTAAACCAGAGTGAGCCACGAGTAAGAGGTAACTCCTGCTGTGAGCTGCTTTAGGGCAGGGTCAGAGTTACACCAGGACAGCTGTTACTGCTTCAAACCGTTAAAAAGTGCTTTGGAAAGAGAGTTAAAGGAACTTTTTCCTCTTGGCAAAGTACCGAACTACAGATCTCCTGGTTGCGCTTGGCCCTCTCCATCTCGGGGGTGACAGGGGTTGGGGTCCCAGTCCCCACACTCTCTTTGTACAACACCTGTGCAACAAGAACCATCCAAAAAACATCATCACCATTCCAAAAGCCAAATCCATCACTTCCTGGGGGACAGGAGCTTTTAATCCCCCACGGCAGAAACAGGACACACGTGTATAGGAAAACACACAAAGGAGAAAGGAAGTCAGAACAGGGAGCAAAATGGTTAACATATTGAGGCCACTGTCAATAATGAGTTGCAAATAATCCCCTCAGTGAAGAAGGGGCAGGTGAGTCACACCGGAGCATGGGAGGGAGAAAGGAAGTGGTTATCAGCTGAGAGAAGTTGTCAGAATAAGCTGTATAAGTTGGAGTAAGGAGAGAAGTGTCCATCTGCAGTCAGGGTTTGGGAGCAGTGACATCCTGCACACAGTACCGAGCTGATGTGCTCCTGGTTGCGTCTGACCCTCTCGATCTCGGGGGTGACAGGGGGGGGGGTGCCTGTCCCCAGCTCCTCCTTGTAGGACACCTGTGGGCGACAGGGCCGGGTCAGGCAGGGAGCAAACAGCTCTGGGAAAACATGGAATGCTGCTCCGAGAATCTCCTAGACAATGCTTGGAGTGAGGGAGCTCAGTGCTGACAGGAGACACCGCAGGGACAGCCTGAGGGGCATGGGGGGAGCATCAGTGCTGCACACAGAGCTCTGTGTGCACACAACACTCCCAAAGCACCAAATTCCACAGGGAAACCAACAAATCAACCCATTCGGGGCCATTGCCCACCCCAGCAGGTCACACTGGTGTGTCCCACAGCACTGTCACACCCAGGGCACGGCCAAGGCCTGGGGAGGGCACAGCTGCTGTGGGAAAGAGAATCAGGGGAAAAAACACACAAAACTGAAGGGTTGTTGGGACTCAGGGAAGGAAAACGGGGTGGGATGAAGGGTCAAAAAAAAGAAAAAAAGCTAATCACACTCAAAAAGATGAAAAAAGGGAGCAAGAACACTGTAAGTAACAACTGTAAAGGAAAAAGTGTCTGAAAGGGACCAGGAGATTATTTGTGTTTCTGTAAGTTGATTACAGGGAGAACAGAATATATTTTGTGTGTGTGTTAAAGGCATTTTAAAACAGATTAAGAGGCATTTTTTCTTGCTTTTCACATGACAAAGTACCGAGCTAATGTGCTCCTGGTTGCGTCTGACCCTCTCGATCTCGGGGGGGACAGGGGTGGGGGTGCCTGTCCCCAGCTCCTCCTTGTACAACACCTGTGGGCAACAGGGTGAGTTAAAAACCAGGAGACTCCAACCTCCTCACCACCATCTCTGTGCTGAGGGCACACACAGACCACGGAGAGACTGTTCTGACACATCCTGGATAAACAGGGATTAAAAAAAAATCCCTAAAAATAAAAAAAAAGCTCATTTAAAATTGATTCACTGATGTGACTGTAGCTGGAGGAGGAGAGATTTAGATTGGACACTGGGGAGAAATTCCTCCCTGTGAGGTGCTGAGGCTCTGGCACAGGTTGCCCAGAGCAGCTGTGGCTGCTCCATCCCTGGGAGTGTTCCAGGTTGGATGGGGTTGGAGCACCCTGGGCTGGTAGGAGGTGTCCCTGCCCAGGGCAGGGGTGGGATGGGATGAGCTCTAAGGTCCTTCCAGCCCAAAGCAGTGTGGGATTCTGAATTCCACCAGAATGCTGGAATCCCTCCCTGACCTGTGTGCTCCTCCGGGTGAACAGTTAAACCTGGTGAGTATTTAGAAGATGAAAGTCAGATATAAATGACAATGACATTCACTATTATCCTTTCACCAGCACTGAGGGAAACATTTTCCTGACATTACCCAAGTCACTGGAGGAGAAGATCCTGTGCACCTTCTCTGCACACACACCTCAGAGAGATGTATCTATACATTATTCCTAGTGCTCTCCTGTTTTCAGTGACACTTTCTCCAACCTTACAAACATCCCAACCCTCCTGGTGGTTGTGCTACCAACACCTGCAGAGCAGTTCCCTCCAGCTGAGGATTGGGTTACTTGGGTCTCTCTTCAACAATATGAAACACTTCCAAAGGCAAAGGCATCAAATCCATTGCCAGAAGGAATAAAGACATCGATCCCAATCCATTTCCCCATCCCCAATGGATCACAGCAGAGCCCATGGGAAGGGATCAAAGCTGAGGTCACAGGTGTGTCAGGCAATAAACACTTCAGTGCTGATAGTGTAAAACCAGGAAAAAAACAACCAAGGATTGAAGTGATTAATAATAGGAAAAGCAGATTTTAAAGGGAAAAAAAGAGTCAAGAGAAAGGTGGAAACAAGGAATCCAAAATCATTAGTGAGATGATCCAACCCAACCAAAGTAATCGTGAGAAAATGGTGAAACACAGGGAATGGGATAATCTTGGTGTGTAAATTGATTACAGGGAAAGAAAAAGAATAGGTTGGTGGTGTTAAAAGTATCTTAAAATAGATTAAAAGGGATTTTTTTTCTCGCTTTTCACATGACAAAATACCGAGCTAAAGTGCTCCTGGTTGCGTCTGACCCTCTCGATCTCGGGGGTGACAGGGGTGGGGGTCCCTGTCCCCAGCTCCTCCTTGTACAACACCTGTGGGCAACAGGGGGGCAGAAAAAAGGAAAGGGTGAAAATAACCTGTGTTTCATGGAGGAAATTCAGGTCACTTTATGCCCACTAAGTGCAGTGGAAAGCAGGAAAAATTAGGAAGTATAAACCAGTTAATGACAGTGGTAAACACAGGGAAGTGAGAGGAATCTGCATCCTCGTGCTTGGATATGCTCCAGCTGAACAGCAAAGGGTTAAAGGGAGGGAATGAAGCAAGTTATAAAAAAAAAACACAACTGGTTTCCACAGTGAAAAATACTTCAAACTGCAGGAAAAACCCCTCAAAGGACAAAAAGCATCAAGTGTTATGGGAATAATCTCTAAGGACATAAAATATAACTTCAAGTGACCAAAAAAATGTCTCAGCAGAAAGTTTTGATCAGTTAATTAGAGAGCATTAAAAGTTTTACAGGTGTTAAATAGTTAACAGGGAACTCTTTTTTTTTTTTTTTTTTGGGCAGGAAATGCTAAGAAGATACCGAGCTAAAGTTCTCCTGGTTGCGTTTGACCCTCTCCATCTCAGGGGTGACAGGCACTGGGGTGCCAACCCCCAACCCCTCCTTGTACAACAAGTTTTGATCAGTTAATTAGAGAGCATTAAAAGTTTTACAGGTGTTAAATAGTTAACAGGGAACTCTTTTTTTTTTTTTTTTTTGGGCAGGAAATGCTAAGAAGATACCGAGCTAAAGTTCTCCTGGTTGCGTTTGACCCTCTCCATCTCAGGGGTGACAGGCACTGGGGTGCCAACCCCCAACCCCTCCTTGTACAACACCTGGGGGAAAGGGGAGAGAACAGGGAGGA